TCAAACAAAGTTAAACGTCTACTATTAATAACTTGTTTATATATGATAGTATTTGTGTTAACTTACATTATTTATTGTCGCATATGGTATTAAGTCTTCTCAATCCAACAGACGTTTCCTCTTCCAGGAAATAGCCCTGGGAATATCATTTGAAGTTTTTATTGCATATGTCTTCATGGCGGGAAAGGCCTCGAATATCCAAATCTACAAACAATATAATAACAAACATTAGTAATTGTTAAATAATTAATTATAATTTTGAAAACATTATATAGAAATTCTTACCTTAAAGGCCCAAACAAAGCCTGACAAAGTGTATTTCGACCCATCGCCCCGCAAACTTTTGCGGTCATCAAAGGCAGACGACAACTTAGTCCAGGTAGCTTTCCATATATACGAACCCCACAGAAACAGATTTCATGCATTTAGGTCCTCTACCAATAATATTAGCTCCTGAGGAATAGGTTGTCTGGCCTCTCTGCCTAAAAAGTCGGCATACAAAAGTAGTAGAAGGCATACTCGGACAACATCGACGTCATTCATCCGAGTAAAACCATCTTTCTTATTAAACAATTTCTTCATGTTGTCGACGTGTAAGTTCGGCTTCTCTATTGACTCATCAGGAAAAACCCTGGATAACCATGATGGGCGGGTGATATGACGAGTGTATCGGCCTACATCATCGTGTCGGAATCGTAGACCAGTGATTAAGCAGAACTCCTTCCGCCCAAAACAAGTATACGCCGGTGGAAAATGAAACCATATCTCTTCCTCACCACGTTGTATACTGTCGGGTAGATCTCTAGTCATGGTCTGAAGCCACAAATGGGTCAAATTAGCATCTCCACCCGGATGCTGTACTCTCAGCCATGGCCCGAAGCAGGTTTCCTCAAACAATTTTCTTTGTGCAGGTGAAAGCTTCGAAGCAATTGTAGTGACTAGGCTAACTTTATTCCTTAATGTCAATGAAGTCGAAAAAAATTTCTACAAAAACAATAAACATACCAAGTTAGATATACCAAAAACTACACTGTCAAGATATACCAAAAACAATAAACATAAATAGTAGTTTATTCTTGAAACTAAAATTTGCAACACGGTTTTGTCTTTTGGTTGAAATGAAAATCGCAAAGAGATAATGAGAATCGCAAAGCGAAATGACTATCGCAACGCGAAATGAAAATCGCAATGCGATTTTGGTTTCGCGTTGTGTTTTTTATTTCGCGTTGCGATTCTCTCGTTGCGATAGTTATTTCCGCGTTGCGATTTTCATTCTCGAAACTATTCTTCTTCTGTATTACTTCAACCAAAAGACAAAACAAAGACAAATACTAACTTCACAGGCTAAACAGTTTAGCAGTATTGGCAGCAATCGAATGAATTTAATAATAAATCTAAGTGAAATGGTTAATCTATTATTGAAATTACCAGTAAACTTATCATCAATCTCAATATGAAAAACATAAAATAATGCAAAAATTTCAAAATAAAATTAAAAAAAACTAACCCTCGGAGGTTGATTTTTCATTTCTGAATGATTATGAGGGATTTTTTACTGTGAATGGTTGTGAGGGATTTCGCCGGCGATGGGGACGGAAATCTTCGGAGATGGGGACGGATTTCGCCGTAGAGAGTGAGAGATGGAGATAGGACTGAGTGTTGTGATTTTGGGTTTGAGGTTATGAGTTGCGATTACTGTGGACGGTTCAGTTTCCGATTTATTAAGAAAAAATTCGTGTTTGGAATTTGAAAAAAAAAATACGCGTTAATACGAATGGCGTTATGTAAATCGCGTTGCGAAAGTCAGAATCGCGTTGCGAAAGTCAGTATCTCGTTGCGATTTTGTATTATCGCATTGCGATAGTAAGTATCGCATTGCGATAGTCAGTATCGCATTGCAATTTTTCCAATTCGCGTTATCGCAACGGCACTATAGACCATCGCAACGCGATTTCCAACTATCGCAACGCGAAATGCAACGCGAATTTGCGATAATGGAGATCGCGTTGCGAATTAGCGATCGCATTGCGATTTTGTTGGTCATTTTGGCAAATCCGGAAAAAGTTGGTTAAAATCGTATATTATAAGGCATTTTCGGTCACTGAGGCGATTTTCTCTATTTTTAAAAGGTTGCATGTTTAATTATAAATAATGTTAAAATAAATATTAATTTTTTAAATCATAAGATTTGAGTAAATATGACTTCATGTAACATGGAGCGCGATTTTCCCGATAAATCACCCTTAAATTCTTTTTTTCCCTGTCAAACACCGTTTAGACTTTATTTTCCGATCTAACACCCTTTACAGGAAGGCGCGTCCCTTGAAGCGTGCCTTATGCTGACATGGATACATGCTGGCTAAGGCGCGACCCCTGAAGCGCTTTATGCCACGTAGGGGTATAGCTCGGTGCAAGGACTGCGACTTTCCTTTAATTTTGACACGCGTCAGAAAGACGCGGTGCAGGAGTCACGCATTTCCTTTAATTTCAGGCTGTTCACACCCCTTTCTCACCCCTATAAATACCTTAATTCTCAATCATTGTCATCACATCAAATCCTCTCAACTTCTTTCAAATCCTCTCAACTTAAGGTATATTTTATTTTATTTAATATCTTATTAGTATTTTATTTAATTATTTTAATATTTTATTTAATTAATTTTTTTTTCTTTTAGATGGAAATCATATATCGAGTCATTATGTTGATACGATAACATTTTTACATTTTAATTTAATTTAAATTATTAGTAATAATTTATTTATTTAATGCATGATTATTAATTTATAAATTAATTTTTGTAATTATTAATATTTTAGGAGAACGACCATATATTAGATCATTTTATTAGGAACCTTAAGTTAGCGATACGATTACTACTGCATTGTAAGATAGAATCAGACCTTATTTCTGCAGTAGTGGAGCATTGGAGGTCGGAGACCCACATATTCCATCTTCCATGCAGAGAGTGCACGATTACGCTTGAGGATGTTTCTATGCACTTGGGGCTTTCGGTGGATGGAGATGTGATTTCAGGGATGGCGCACGGTAATTGAACTACTTTGTGCCGGGATTATCTAGGAGGTGTCCCACAAAATTTTAACGGTGGTCAGACACAATTAAATTGGTTAGATGCAAATTTTCGGGAGTTGAGCGATGATGCCTCTGATGATGCAGTTAAAATGTATGCACGAGCATGCATACTACAGTTGATTGGAGGGTTGCTAATGCCGGACAAATCGCGCAACCAAGTTCATTGTATGTGGTTGCGACATCTTGTCGACTTTCATCTGGTCGGATCACTGAGTTATGGCTCTACAGTTTTGGCTTTCTTGTATAGGGAGATGTGTTGAGCGACTGACTACAAGAAAAATGCTATCGACAGATGTCTCATTCTGCTGCAGTCTTGGGCATGGTATCGATTGCCTTTTTTATGTCCTGTTGTGAAGAACTCGTTCGTATTTCTGCTACTATTGAGGTAATTATAAAACTGATTTCGTATATTAATCATTTTATATAGTGTATAATAATTTCCCCCCCTTAAATAGGTGATCTACTGACAGGAAAAATCATCGGGAGCTACTTGATAATTTAGAAAAAATGAGGGTGCTAATCGATCAGAAGGATGGGATGCACATCCTCACATCATCATTACAATATAAAACCCATTCAAACTAAAACAAATATATATAATTTTTATCAATATAATAATCTAATTATATAACTATAATCCAAAATCGATTTTTAAACATTAAAATGCATACCTCTGTGTCAGCCTTCTGATGGGCCTGCACCCTCATTTTTTTCTGCATAGTTAAAAACTTTTATAGAAAAACCAACAAAGAAATATAAGGTAGCTCAATGGTTAAATATTATGTTTAATATCTAGGGGTTTGCGGTTCAAATCCCTTGAATTGCATATTATTTTAAATTTTTTTAAGTAAAACGACGTCGTTTTGTCTTTATTGAACAAAAATATAGTTGTGTTGAAACGACGTCGTTTTGGTAAGGCATCCACGTCATTACCGTCACGGCCCGTCCATGTCATGTCATCGTCCCGTTAACGGATTAACAACGGAGTTACTTAATTGGAGTAAAACATAAACGTCAGTGCTTAAATTGACAAAATTAAAACGTCAGTGACATTTTCGAGTTAGCGCCTAAAGGTGAGTGGTATTTAAGAGAGATTACCTTAAGATAAAATATAAGTTGAGAGGATTTGAGAGAAATTGAGAAGATTTGAGAGGGTTTAGTGTGATGAAAATGATTGAGAATAAATGTATTTATAGGAGTGAGAAAGGAGTGTGAACATAAATTAAAGGAAAGGCACGGGCTCTACACCGCGTCTTTATGACGCATGTCAGAATTAAAGAAAAAATATGATCCTGCATCGCGCTATACCCTTACGTGACATAAGACGCGTTTCATGGGTTGCACTTTAGCCAACGTGTATCCATATCAGCATAAGTCACGCTTCAAGGGACGCGTCTTACCTCACATGTCACCAGATCAAAGTAAGGCGTATTTCAGGACACGTATTCATACAAAGGATATTTGATCGGAAAATAAAATTAAACTGTCTGACAAAGAAAAATAATTTAAGAGTGATTTCTGGAAAATCGCCAATGGAGCCCTCTGCTGTAACTTGAAGCGACTACTTTAATGCGATCGCCGTCCATGGCACACCATCATCCCACTAAATGATCGCCACGTGTCCCATTTTGGTGAACCTTTCTAAATAGTCAAAATCCCGCACCGACGTTTCAGTACCCATGTTCATCTCGTCAGAAAAAGCAATAGAATATTCAGAATCCAATTTACGCTGGATCCCACCGTACAATACCCCTGCCCAAATCTAAGCTCTCTTGATTTCAAAATTCCATCCGAGCCTTTGGTTTTGGCTCCGAACCTCAGGCTCAAACTCATCGACCGTTTATATATTCACATCGTAAAACCAGACATTTTCCACTTCAGCTCTAGCACACCTCGAACCTTTCGGAACTCGTGAGAATCGGAGACAGGAATCCGTCATTTTTGGGTTCTGCTTCCGATTTTTTTTAGCAATGGCGGACGAATCGGAGAGTAAGCAATCGACGGTGGAGTCGGTGATGGAGAAGATCAGCGAGAAGATTCACGGCCACGATTCATCCTCGGATTCGGATTCGGATCACAAGAAACCGGGTTCCGCTTCTACCGTCCAGTCTAAGATTTTTCGGTTGTTTGGAAGAGAGAGACCAGTTCATCATGTGCTTGGTGGTGGTAAACGTACGAACTCTCTCATTTTACATTTCCCCCCTTTTTTCTTTCTCAAATTCATTATCGAGAATAGGGCGTTAAGCTTTTTAAAGTTGTTTGATGATATACTTTATGCAAATGAGAGTAAAAGATATAATCTACTCAGTTTACAACGGTTTGCTTGATGTAAGATTATTGGATCTATATTTTGTTTTCTGCTTTATGATCTGTTTCATATTTTAAATGCATTGCTCATCTCGATGTCTCAATCCCAATTTTTAGTGGAAATTTTGAAATATTTATATATTTGTTCTAGACTCATTTATAATTCAATTTTGCGTAAGAATAAAGTATTGATGCACCTTGAGTTGAGATCTTAACATTTTGGGTCTTTTGCTTTTGCTTTTGTCTATTTTCTTGTTTGCATTCTGGGCAATATATCTAAAGCCCATAAGGGTTTAAAGGGCTTTAGAAAGAGAAACTCTTGTGGCTTTTTTTGTGTGTTAAATGCCCGATGTTCTCTTTCTCTCTCTTATTTTATTGGTAAATGATTTGTTGCAGCTGCTGATGTATTCTTGTGGAGGAACAAGAAGATTTCAGCTGGTGTGCTTGGTGGAGCAACTGCAATTTGGGTCCTTTTTGAACTGATTGAATACCACCTACTTACTTTAATATGCCACATCTCGATACTCTGTCTTGCACTATTGTTCTTGTGGTCCAGTGTTCGTACCTTCATCCACAAGTAAGTTTATACATTCTTCTCAGGAACTTCACTTTTTTTGGTTATGGAGTTTAAGATATGGTATGATTACTTAAAGACCATATACACCACCCTTTTCTTTATAGGACCCCACCTCGCATCCCCGAAGTTCATTTACCAGAGGAACCATTTGTCCAAGTTGCCTCAGCTCTGACTATCGAGTTTAACCGTGCATTAAAGCTGCTACGCGATATTGCATCCGGAAGTAATCTGAAGGAGTTTCTTATGGTGTGTTTGTTTTCATGCCTGTGAGAATGCTTCATCTTAAGTTTGATTGAGAAAATTACTAATATTTGCAGTCTTTGATTTGTATTTCAGGTTATAGCTGCATGCTGGGTTCTGTCAATCGTGGGGAGTTGGTGCCACTTTTTGACCTTGTTCTATATATGTAATGACACTGACTCAAACTTTTTGACCCCAAGTACTTTTATCTATATAATAATCTGTTATTTCATATACTGATTTTTCATTCATCTTTTATATGTTATCAGCTTTTGTGTTGCTGCATACGGTGCCAGTTTTATATGAGAAGTACGAGGAGAAGGTTGATCCATTTGTAGAGAAGGCTATGATTGAGATTAAAAAGCAATATGGAGTTTTTGATGCCAAGGTTTTGAGTAAAATTCCGAAGGGTCCTTTAAAGACCAAGAATGTTTAGGCAAACGTTACTCAAACAAACGTTTAGGAGTGATTTTCAGTTCAAAGTATCATGAATCATCAAAGAAGGCAATCAGTTTATAGCCATATGCCAAACTTACGAATGGCGCCATAAGATGATGATATTTTTATGTAACTTTGTTTCATTTGGATAACATTAAGCATTTTTACATTGGTTGGCGTCTGATTTTGTGTTATTGCCTTGGTTTTGTGCTATTTGCTGCTCTTGGTTTTGTGCTATTACCTTTTCTTTGGGGTGTTTCCTTATGCCCCTTAAAAGTTCATAGTGGCTACATCATCAACGCAAAAACAATACCTTTTTCAGTAATATTATGCAAGAAACACCTCAGTATTTCTTTAGTCATGATAATTAAAGTTAATTGGAGCCTTGGAGGAATAAGAATGTCGTAATAATCCATCATATTTTTGTTACGCTTACTTTAAATTTTCCGATTACGAGGCATTCTGCACATAAATTACAGGGGAAAAAAGATGTGTGAAATTCATGGTCTTTTAAAGGTTTACATAGATATGCTATTTTTTAATAGGTTTAATACAAAAAATGTTCAAACTATACCTCTTCATCCAGTTAAGTGCTTAAAATCGGATAATTTAGGCGTTTAACATTACAAACGTGTCTCTGTCGTTAAAAAAGTCCGTTAAATGAAATATGTTGTGTTCATATTTTTTTTGTGAAAATTTTTATTTAGAAAAACTTTAAAACTTAAAATATAAATACTACATGTCATTTAGCAGACTTTTTTTTAGCTTTCGTTATGGTTGATGCACTTAAAATATAACTTTTGTAATGTTTGCACATATATTGACCAAAAAAAATTAAGCACCTAAATAGGAAAATAAATGTAGTTTATAATTTTTTTATTAATCTCTTTTTAAAAAAAATTAAGCACCTAAATAGGAAAATAAATGTAGTTTATAATTTTTTTATTAATCTCTTTTTATATAAATGTAAAGTTAATATTTAGAAGGCTTGATTACAAAAAATGTCTAAACTATAATTATTTTCTCGTTTAGTCAATTTTTTCTTGTCAAAGTTGGTGTCTAGCGTCTTTTAAGTGTCTGATTTATTACAGACTGTTAAAAAAATTCCATCAATTATTCAAAATGTGACATGTGGTGTGTTTATAAATTTTTTAAAATTTTATTTAAAATAAAAATTTAAAATTATTATTTAAAGGTTTTTTTAGTTTCACGTAGATGAGAAGAAATAGAAGGTTGAGATACAATATAGAAAATAACACTTTCTTTAACTAATTAGACCACTTAATAATTTCAATTTATGCTTTAATTTAAAAAATATATTAGGTATACATATCAAGTTCTAATGATTTTCTACATACAAAATATTTATAGTTTTGGGTAAAGTACTCAAGTGGTCCCCTGACTATAGGTCGTTAATTTCTTGAATATTAAAAGTTATAAAATAGTCTCTCAATTATAGAGAATAATTTTGTTGAGTCTCCAGATTATTAAAAGTTATAAAATGGTCATTTAATTATTCATATGTTCCAAACTAGTCCTTTTCCGTTAAAAAAATTGACGATCGGCTGAGCTAGACGTTAACTTGATGAATTGAATACGATAAAATTATATTTTTAATGATGTCTACTGGCACTGCCCTTGCATTCAATCACCGACTCAATGACATAATATAAATTGAGAGTTGATCCACAAAATACAACTCAAATTATTCTATGATCAAATTTTATCATATCCCAGTTAACAAGTTACGTCTAACACAGACGTTCGCTAATTTTTTAATGGAAAAGAACGAGTTTGTATTATATGATTAGTCGGATGACCATTTGTAAATTTTAATAATAGGATGACTCAATAAAATATCGACCTATAGTTAAGAGACATTTTTGTAACTTTTAATAGTCAAATGACTTAATAAAGTAAAATACTATAGTCAGATGACCATTTGTATACTTTAGCCTATAAACCTTTACACATTACTAATTCATTATTCTTTTAATGTGTTCTTGTATTTATGCCATTTATTTTTCTCTCGACTTTTTGAATTATTTTTTAATTTTTTTCCTTCATGTTTTATTTTATTTTATAAGTTTGTGTTTCGTCACAATAAATGAATATTTAATTTAACTCAATTAATATCATTATTAGTATATTATATTATATAGGGGGACGTGAGATTAGACATATCTAATGCTTATTATAAAAATATTGATATCATTGCTCATATATTATACAAGAGAAAGTAAGATGTAACATGCTCAAACACTTATTGTAAAAATATACAATGTCATTTTAATTAAAAAAATAATTAATATTGTTAATTATTTAGATTTTAATAATATTATAAAGATAGATGGATTTATTTTATTAAATTTAATATAAATACAAAATCCAAATTTCAACATGGTGGACAGAAACTATAAAGTGACCTTTAAAAATCAAATTGCAAACGTTTCAATATAATCATCCTATTTTAAAATTCAATTTGATTTTAAGAAACGTAGCGAGTGAACATAATTTAATATTATTTATAGCAATATTTTTTTTATTAAATACAATATTTAAGTTTTCAAGAAGAAGTACAATAATTGAGAATCACTGTTTTGCTTGGCCTTTGTTTTTAGTTTTGTTAACTAACGGTGACATTAATTTTAGTGTTAATTGTTAATTATTGATATTCTTTTTTTATATATTGTATTATTGTTTTATTTTTTATTTTATATTAATTCTGTCTTTATAGTATGATTTTATTTGTCTTTGTGGTACGTTTTTAATCTTATCTATTAGTCGTTTGACCGTTTTTTTATTTATTTTTTTATGATTGGATTTGACATTGGTCACATTGATCAAAATAAAGCTTTATTTATTATCCTAATGATTTATCATGTTTTGGACCCCGAGATCAATTTAGATATACGATTTATGTTCGGAGATAATTTTCTTATAACACTCGATTTTGATTACGATTGTCGGTGGTCTTCCATTAGCTTAATCCTTTATTGTGGTTTATTTGTCGACACAGTTAGATTTATTCGCATTTTTTATTTTGTTCAATTTTTTTGGGATGTGTTTTTAACATTTTTCTCATACGGTCCTTTTAAGATCTTAAATGGTTAGTTTCGTATCAATGATTATATGAAATGTTATAATTATGCGTTTAGTTTACACTTATGATTGTAAATTATCATTATAATTATAGATTTTTTTAAATAAAACCAGCGGCATCTATTTGCATAAAAAATTATCGTTATAATTTTATGCATTAGAAAAAAAGGATAAACTATACAAATGATCTCTTGTGTTTTCAGTCTGACCGATTTTGATCACCGTTAGAAAAAAATGATTTTAGTCCCTTACGTTATTAATCATTAATTTGAGAGATTATTACAAGGGATCAAAACCACTTTTTTTTAATTAATGACCAAATTCGACAAGAAAAAAAATATCAAAGACCATCTATACAGTAGAAAAAATTATTTCCGTAACATACTCCGTAAATTTAATGGTGCGTTTAGTTTGAATATTTTTCCCTACTTTCACTAATATAATATTTTATATTGATGTTATCGCTTTTTCTTCTTTTTTAATAGTTGATGTTATCTTGTTTGGTTTCGTATCATTGTCTGATGGTAATATAAAATTATCGACAATAAAAATTAGTTAAGAGTACAGGATACGATGTAATAATGTTACATTTTGAACCATTTTATTGTTTTTAATTTTCCCTTTCATTTATAATAGATTTTTCTTAAAATTAATTATTTCAAATTAAAATAGAATTAAATAGATAGAATTTTTAAATATTTAAGATTTATTGAATTATTTTAAATTAAGATCAATTTAATAAAATGTGTAAGTTTTGAGAATTAAAATTGTTATTATATAATGTCATATCACCATTTTTGTTAAGTTAATAGTTAAACCATCAAATCAAAACAGAAATAAAAATAAGGTTAAATATGATTTTTTTAAAAAGAAAAATAGTTGAATGATTAAAACAAAAATACAAGAATAAATAGGTGACCAAATAAGTAGTTTATGTTATCGCAACTAATCTCCAAAAATCGTAGCATATGAATCAAACACAAACTATGGCATAAGCCATCATTGCATACAAAGAAGTCGTAAGCCTTGCAACAATTTCAATGGTAAAAGGATATTTGCCCGACAGCTCCAACGTGCAATGTTTTTGGTCCCATCTCTAACTAGCTTAATCACTGCATGTTTCTTTTTTTTCACCCAAAAACCATAGAGCCACGAAATCTTTGTAAAGAATACTAGTTGAATTTATAAACTAACAAATTATGTCCTTGTTGTTGCGAGATAATAGATTTCCAGACATTGCATTTTAATGGCGGAGAATCATCTTATCTGTCACTACTCATCTAGTGCAGTATGTAAATCAGATTTTTTATAGGTTCATCAGAGAACACAGGGGTGTCGTCATTTTGTGGTTTTTGTTCGAAGATATGCAAGAAGGCCTGAATGAAGATAAAGAGCATAAGAAAACAAGAATGGAAGGAAGCAAATTGATAGGGCATTGACTAGGGAGTTTTTCTCCCAACATAGCCTGTCCCCCTTCCCTGTCTTGTCTCCTCCAAGAAACAGTACCCGGAAATCCTCTCTGTATGTATCAATAATTGTGGGGGATGTTGGCGACGGTCCCTTTCCAACACTCACACAAGGGCAAAGGGAATTTTTATCGGGTATAATGATAGAATTACTCTTATAGTTTATATATGTAGATATCTTAATGTTTGTACATGGGGTTATTTCATCTCTTTTTGTTTGGAATGTTTTAACTTTTAATGTTTTAATTTTTGATCAAAACATATTTTGTTGGATGAAAATCGTAATTGACTAATTGTCAACACATATTATTGACGTGATATTTTTACACGTGTTCTGTTGTTGATATAACATATGTCGACTCATTATTTTAGGTGATATGACACATGTCATATCATGACTTTGGAAAACATGTCAATATCACATCATTAATTGAACATATATTAAAATACAA